TACTAAAAATACAAAATTAGCTGGGTGTGATGGTGCACACCTGTAATCCCAGCTACTCAGGAGGCTGAGGCAGGAGAATCACTTGAGCCCAGGAGGCACAGGTTGCAGCAAGCCGAGATTGCACCATTATACTCCAGCCTGGGTATAGACAGAGTAAGACTCTGTCTCAAAAAAAATAAAAAAAAAAAAAAAAGAAGGCCTAGATTTGGTTTTCAGTTAATGGTGTGTGTTGATAGGTGTGCCTGAAAAGCTGTTTTCCCCAAAGCTCATATGTACTTTTTATACACTCCGTAAATATAAAGTCATTACAATGGCCCCCTTGAGGGAGAGAGGGAATCATGGATTCAGAGAGCTGGTAATCAGATGTCTAGGCAGAAAGCATCAGGGTTGACTGTCAGAAAGTAGTGGGAAATAGGAACTAGGACGTAGTCAGAGACTTGGGCTCCGAAAACAAGGTGAACCCAGTTTCTAGCACAAAGGTGTCTGTTCAGAGTTGGATGTGCCACAAATTGACTTGGTGCCAAGCTACCTCGCAACCTGCACGTGGTTTCTCCAGTGCTCAAAGACTAGCAAGAGGGTTGATTTGGCTAATATGCTCTCTGCCTGGAGTGCCCTTCCTACCTTTGTTACCTGGTGAACTCATGCATTCTTTAAGACTCAGCTCAACTGTCCCCTCTCCTGTGGCTCTTAGTCCTATGGATTTCAATTTAGCAGCATTTTCCCCTTGATTCATAAGCTGAGTTCATTGCATCAGGCTGGTGGGCCCCCACAGCATTCTGTACATGCTATATTTCATTTTGATTGTTATCGTAGGAAAGCATTATCTCATATTGGCTTGGACTATGAACGTAGAAGTCTAACAGACCTCAGTTTGAGTCATGGCTGCTCTACTTGCTAGCTGTATGGGTTAGATAAGGTGACTTGACATCACTGTATCTCAGCTTTCTCTTCTGTAAAGTGGGCACATAATTTGCTGTCTACTGCATCTGGCTATACCAAAGATGAAAAATAAAAAAGATTCCTGTAGAGCACTCTGTATTATCCCTAGCACAGAAGAAGCCCTCTATTAACGGGTTCTTGAGTTGCCAGCAACAGAACCACCTGTGGCTAACAAACAAAATAGAGAGAAAACAGAACTTACAAAGCCTCAGAAAAGACAGGGATCAGGGCTTCTGCAGGGGTCTAGGGAGCAGAAACTAAGCGACAGTTTCATCAGAGTGCTGCTAGCAGAATACCTAGGCTCCAACCATCTTTGATCTTTAGGTCATTCTAATCACGTTTATTCTCAAGTGTGAGAGAAGCTGACTGGCCTAGCTTGGGTCACCTACCCCACACCTCGATGAGGGAGTTCTAGTTGAGTAGAAAAAAATGTGCCCTGGCGTCCCCCAAGCAGGTCTCACTCATCCTGGTCAGCATCACTCTTTTATATCCAGCCAGTGATCCTTATGACTTTTGCATATGTGACTGCTGCTGTAGGGCAGTGCAGCTTTACTTTTTTTTTTTTTTTTTTTTTTTTTTGAGATGGAATTTCGCTCTTGTCACCCAGGGTGGAGTGCAATGGGATGATCTCAGTTCACTGCAACCTCCGCCTCCTGGGTTCAAGCAGTTCTCCTGCCTCAGCCTCCTGAGGAACTGGGATTACAAGCATGCACCACCACACCTGGCTAATTTTTTATTTTTAGTAGAGACGGGGTTTCTTCGCTATGATCAGCCTGGTCTCAAACTCCCAACCTCAGGTGATCCACCCACCTCAGCCTCCCAAAGTGCTGGGATTACAGTCATGAGCCACCATGCCTGGCCAGCTTTACTTATTAAATGTCACAATCACAGAACCCTTTTTAAAAAAGTTTTGGAAACAATGAGAAAATTCAAGTGAAGACAAGATTTTAAATATTAAGAAATTATTTTGAGGCCGGGCGCCATGGCTCAAGCCTGTAATCCCAGCACTTTGGGAGGCCGAGGCGGGTGGATCACGAGGTCAAGAGATCGAGACCATCCTGGTCAACATGGTGAAACCCCGTTTCTACTAAAAATACAAAAAATTAGCTGGGCATGGTGGCGCGTGCCTATAATCCCAGCTACTCAGGAGGCTGAGGCAGAATTGCCTGAACCCAGGAAGCGGAGGTTGTGGTGAGCCGAGATCGCACCATTGCACTCCAGCCTGGGTAATGAGAGCGAAACTCCGTCTAAAAAAAAAAAAAAAAAAAAAAAAAATTATTTTAATCTCTGTTAGTGTGAACATTCATTGACCCTGTGTTTTTAATACAGTCTCCATTAGAGATATCTATTGAAGTGATCAAAAGTGAAGGAAAAAAAGAATCTCAGAAACTTCGAGGAGAAAGCAGACATTGAGTTCTACTAATCTGACCTAGGATTGTTTAGGGCAGGAGGATCTCTTCCTCTGGAAAGGCCTTCCCCTTCTGAGACTACTCTAACTTTTAAAAAGATGTTTTATAGGTTAATCCACAATCCTTCAATTTACGTCTTTTGCCATGGTTTTGCTTATTGAAGCAATAGAGAACACACGTACCTCTATATATGTTAACATTTTGGTGAAAATGTCACACTTGTCTTGTTTTTCTGCCTATATTTTACATGGTTGAGATGCCCACAGTTACTAAGGGTTCAGCGTTTTGCTGGGTGCTGGTTGAGTGAACTGGGAGCAGCAGCCCAGGAGATGCTGGCTAAGAGCATCATCCAGAGTCAAAGTCATTGTCCCAGACCAACACTTAGGCCCGCCATGTAGTCAGATCTCTAAAACTCAGAGTCTGCATCTGTGAAATCAGGGTCATCATAGGTCCCTCCCCAAGGTGGTTGTGATAATTAAATGAGAGAACAATCGGAAAGCACTTAGCACATTGCCAGGCACCTTCGGAAGAGCTCAGTTAGCTGGGATCCTGCTGACACCCTTTATTTAGGCTGCCCACTGGAAGCCTGCCCATATTATCTTCGTTGATAGGGATATAAATGCATGGGAAAGCCAAGAAAGCAGGAAAGAAAGCACACCACCTAATTGAACTGGAAAGTTCTTGGAGATGCACAGAAACTTGTGTAACATGGGTCATCTTAGCCCCGATAGCAGCAGCCAATCTCTGTTACACCTCACTTTGGTGTCTGCCATCACAATGACGTGGCTACCCTGCTTCAGTCCATCAACCCTTGCTGTGGACTCTTGTCCCTCTCTACTCCAGGGCTTCTGCCGCCTCATGGTTTCTGCTTAATGCCTTTCTCTGCCTCCATTGAATCCCTCTGGCCCGCCTCTCAGTCCCTAAGAGACCATGTGAGATTAATTGGCTCATTCATCATGCAGTATAAAAAGCATCTGTTGAGTAGCACGTGCTCCTTTCCAGGGCACCTCACCACCTGACATCTCGGTTGCATTTGAGTCAGGTGACTCTCCTAGTCCACGCAGCAAGGCTCAGGGTAGAAGAAAGTAGACTGATGAGAGGAGAATACTGTAAAGTGTTGATTGCTGTCTCATTTTAATGCCTCTCTGGACCTGATGAATTAAAAGAACTGAAATTCCTCAGGTAAAAGTTCAGTTCTTTCCTCAGAGGTAAATACAGTCAGGACATCCAATTTAGAAAAGATACAAACTAAGTAATTTGCCCAAGGCTATTCAGCTGATAAACGGTGGACATGAAATACCACGTCTAGATCTTTTAGATTCCAAAGCCTGTTTTTCCCCCAACTCCTCATTCCGTTTAACACCTTTGTACTTAATTTTCTCTTCTCATAAATCTGACACTCCTCCATCTTCATTAACCTCACTTATAAGTGACATAAAAGCTTACAAGTAAAAATATAAAGGATTTGTTTTCTTTCTGGAACTTCCCTTGATGACTCAACATTAAAGGGTGGAATGTTTCGAATGATTTTACCATCTCAGTGACAAAATCTTTCACAGCCCTTTCGGCTGTATTTATTTATCAAAGGTGTCATCATTGGGGAAAGCGAGAAAAAGAGAAGCAAAGGGCAAAGCCCCAACATGAGTCCACAGAGCTAAGGATGGGTTCACCTGGCCACTTCCTAGCCCGGATTTACCTTCACTCTCACTGATCTGAGAGTAAATTCCCTTTCAGACAAAGCACTGAGCTGTCTTGGGGCCTGATGGCTCTTCATGCATTATTCATCAAGCAATGCTCCAGAACTTGAGGAAAACTTCGGAGCCTCCGCATGCCCACTCGCCCACCACAGAGCACCAGCATTTGCAAGCCGGTCAGTACAGGATTATGAAAACAGAGTTGTTAAAGGCTCAGCTTCCTTCCCTCCCTCCTTCCCTCCCCACCCAGGAGCTGTCAGAGCTCTCCTGAGAGAGGGGCCTGCCTGTGACCTGTGGTCTCACAGATTGAAACAGCAAAGTCGTAGAGAGGGAGTGAGGCAGTGAGGCCCAGAATACCCTGATTTGCATGAGAAAAGACCAAGATTGATGGCTGCTGAGAGCTTGGCTTTGAGCCAAAGGAAAACCGAGAGCCTGGAAGGAAGAAAGGAGGGCTAATTGAAACTCCCCCAGTGGATGGGGGTCAGGTAGGCATGAGGCCCTCAGGAACCTCCGTCTAAAAACCACCAAGCCTCAAGCAGGCTTTGGGGTTCAGTTAGGTAGTGCTTGCTCAGCCGACTTCAGCTTTCCACTCTGAGTTCACCTGGGCTTCGTTTTGAAGCTGTCTGAGGTATTATGAACTCCCAGAACATGTTTCAAAGAATGAGCAACACAGATAAAAGTCTGATTGTGGTTGGATACCATTTGGAGTTTCTCTTTAACTCACGATGCAAGACAGAAAAACATTCTGAAAGAGATTTTGTCTGCAGGGATGCATACATACATACACATCGATGCATCCTGTACATACATGTGGTGCACATTTATTTTAAAAAGGAAAAGAAAGCACAACTATCCTCAGGCTTTTCAAATTTCTCACTCTGCTTTTGGGGAACACTGAATGAGGAATGTTGAACGATGAAAATAAATCTGAAGGAAAAACTCCTCTGCTGTTTTTCAGGTTTTACATTGAGAGCATATCGTTTTTAAAGGATAAAACCACCGTGGAGCTGTTTTTCCTGAATGCCAAGACCTGTGTGCACAAGGTAGGTGGCCCATTTGTCGTGTTCACTGGATGCCTTCAGAGTGACTGGGATGACAGGGAGAAATGGTTCTGCCTCTCTGTTCTTGCAATCAAACTAAGAAAAAGAAAGGCTACAGTCTTTTCCATGAATATGTCCTATCACCTGCTACACACATACACAAATGGCATCTTTTCTCAAATTCTGAGTTAAAAGGACAAGCATCTGCAGAGGAATCTTGCATACACACAATCACCACTACTTTATTTTTTTTTTTTTAGACGGAGTTTCGCTCTTGTTACCTAGGCTGGAGTGCAATGGCGCGATCTCGGCTCACCGCAACCTCCGCCTCCTGGGTTCAGGCAATTCTCCTGCCTCAGCCTCCTGAGTAGCTGGGATTACAGGCACACGCCACCACGCCCAGCTTATTTTTTGTATTTTTAGTAGAGACGGGGTTTCACCATGTTGACCAGGACGGTCTCGATCTCTTGACCTCGTGATCCACCTGCCTCGGCCTCCCAAAGTGCTGGGATTACAGGCTTGAGCCACCGAGCCCGGCCACAATCACCACTACTTTAAATGCAGCAAATAATCCACACAGAGTGACCCAGAGAGACACAAAGATGGATCAATCAGATTATAATCAAAACGTCTAGGCCAGAAATCTTTTTAAATAAGGTATACTCTACACTGACAATAATTCACAACTAGCCTTATTTCAGTTCAATTTCTGCCTTCTGATCCCTACATACATGCCACCTTAAATCTAAGGAGGGAAGATTGCTCATAGCCACTTGTTTTCAAGCAGTATCTCAGTTATCTGTGGTAAGGGACCAGGGTTTTTCTTTTATTGTTTTTTATTTCTATCTAATGCATCAAGGACAGATCACTTTAGTAAAAATCAATGAACATACATTGCTAGAAAAACAATCCCTTGCTGGAATGTTGCAGTCATGTCAAATTGCTATAAAAGTTTTTAAACACTCTCAGTTTTTGTCTTATCTCTTTGCATACTAGCATAGCTTTAAGAGCCTCCACTCTGGTCTCCTGAAAGCCCTTCCTGAGGAAGGGAAGGGAAGCCATGGGCCAAGAGGTGCCTAGTGGAGCCGGGATCCTCCCTTGTAGATTCTGATCTCAATGCTTGGGATCTCAGCATACCCTGTCCAGATTGCACGTCTGCCTCCAGGCCTTCTTTTAGGTTTATTGAGCATGTTATGACTTCATTTTACCTCTTTTGTTGGATTATTAGCTATAACTCTTTGTTGGTTACTTTAGGGTTTATAGTCTACATCTTTAACTTATCAAGTCTGTCTTCAAGATGATATTATACTACTTCACATGTAGTATAAGAATCTTACAATAGAATACTTCCATTTCTCTCCTCTCAGCATGTATGCGATTGATGTCATACAGTTTACTTTTAGATAAGTTACAGATACATGTGACATTATTATTTTTGTGTAAATATTTAATTAAAGAGATTTAAGCAGTACCAAAAGTCTTACATATTTGCCCATGGAGTTAGCATTTCTATTGCTCTTCATTCGCTTGTGTAGATCAATATTCCTGTCTGTTATGATTTTCTTTCTGCCTGGAGGACTTGCTTTAGCATTTCTTATAGTGTGGGCATACTGGTGGTGAATTCCTTCAGCTTATATCTGAAAACATCTCTATTTGCCTTTGGTTTTAGAAGTCATTTCACGTGATGTTAGACTCTGTATTGGCAGTTTTTCACTTTCCATACTTTAGAAATGTTGATTCACTATCTTCTTGCTTGCATTGTTTCTGATGAGAAGTCTGCTGTCATCTCTATCTTTGTGTTTCTGTATAGAATGCCTTTTTCTTTGGCTACTTTTACAATTTTCTATTTTTTCTGCTTTGAGCAATTTTTTTTTTTTTTTTTTTTTTTTTGAGATGGAGACTTTCTTTGTCACCCAGGCTGGAGTGCAGTGGTGCAGTCTCGGGTCACTACAACCTCTGTGTCCCAGGTCCAAGCAATTCTCCTGCCTCAGCCTCCTGAGTAGCTGGGGCTATAGGTGTGCACAACTGCACCTGGCTAATTTTTGTATTCTCAGTAGAGATGGGGTTTCACCATATTGGCAAGGTTGAGCTCGAACTCCTGATCTCAGGTGATCCACCTGCCTCAAGCCTACCAAAGTGCTGGTATTATAAGTGTGAGCCACCACTGTGCCTGGCCTGCTTTGAGCAATTTTATTATGAGGTGCCTTGGTATAGTTTTCTTCATGTGTTTGTGTATGAGTGTGTGTCATTGGCATTTATTGAGCCTCTTGGACCTTTAGGTTTATAGTTGTCATCAAATTCAGAAACTTTTTAGCCATTATTTCTTCAGATTTTTTTTTTTTGTCTTCACTTACACCTCATTTGCAAAGCCCAATTACACATATACTAGGCCACTTGAAGCTGTCACACAGTGATGCTGTGCATTTGAGGGGGTTTGGGGGAATATGATACCTTGTATAGTTTCTCTTGCTTTGTCGTCAGTTTCACTCATCTGTTTTTTGCAATCTAATCTGCCATTAATCCCATTTTGTATATTAGAGTTTTTATCTTTAGAGGTTTGATTTGGATCTTTTTTACATCTTGCATGTGACTATTTACCTTTTTGAACATATTAAATTTCGTTATAATAATTGTTTTAATGTCTTCGTCTGCTTATCCTAATGTCTGTAGTTCTGTATATTTTTGATTGATTTTGTCATTGTTATGGGTCATGTTTTTCTGCCTATTTGCATGCCTGGTAATATTTGATTGGACATGCTAGACATTATTAATTGTATCTTTTTGAATGGCATATATTTTTTGTATTCCTGTATGATTGACATTTGTTTTAGGATGCAGTTTAATTACTTGAATATGGTTTGGTTTTTTTCAGGTCTTGCTTTTGTGATTTGTTAGGTTAGCCCAGAGCAGCGCTCATTCTATAGCTAATTATTCTGCATACTCATCTTCCTGAGTACTCTATTCAATGCCACATGAATTATGAGTGTTTTAGTCTGGCTGGTGGGAATAGGTATCACCTCCAGCCCTGTGTAAGGATGAGGCACTCTTCCCTCTTATCCTTTCAGATGGTCTCAAACTTTGGGTAGTTTCTTTCCATGCATGGAATGATCAGTGCTCTACTGAATCCTCAAAGGAGACCCTCTGTAGATTTTCAGGGTTCTCTCTCTTTGCGACTCTCTTTTCCCTGGCACTCTATTCTGAAAATTATATTCCTTTTGATCTCCTGGACTAAGGAGTTGCTCTATCTCCTCAACTCAGGGAGTGAGTTCACTGTGTTCCATTGTGTTTCTCCCTCCACAGCCTGGAGCCCTCTCTTGACAGTAGTGGGGGCGGTCATAGGACTCACCTGGTTCAAGGTTCACTATCCTTTGTTGCTGGATGTTCAGTGTTATGAAAACTGTTGTATTATATGTTTTGTCTTTTTTTTATTTTTTTCATTTAAGAGGATAAATTCAGTCCCTGTTACTCCATCTTGGCCAGAAGTGTAAATATTCAAAGAAGAGTTTTTGGCTGAGTCTATGGGGAAAGCAAAATGTTCCCAGTATCAAAGGCTTTACTACAGCCCTCTTTTCTGAGACTCGGATTTTCCTAGGAACTCTAAGGGTTGGCTGATGAGTAGACACCTATATAGCAAACACAGCTTTTCAAACACTGTTTACTGAGTCAGAACACGTTTCATAAACCACAGTTTGCCATCATTTCCTATGTGGAGATATACAATTGCTCCTTGTAATATTTTTCACTGTCTAGTTGGCGTTGATCCAGTGTTTTCTCTGTTGCTAATGCAAAGATGGTTAGGATGCAAATTTTTAACTCATGACATTTCTCTTGTATGCTAAATTCTGTTTGTCTTGAGAAAGCAAGGAAAAGCAGAATTCCTTTAAATGCTACTACATTTTATGAATGTCAGTTGCTGGGAACTCTTTTTTTTTTTTTTTTTTTTTTTTTTTGAGATGGAGTTTCACTCTTATTGCCCAGGCTGGAGTACAATGGCGCTATCTCTGCTTACTGCAACCTCCGTCTCCTGGGTTCAAGCAATTCTTATGCCTCAGCCTGCCGAGTAGCTGGGATTACAGGCGCCTGTCAACGTGCCCAGCTAATTTTTTGTATTTTTCGTAGAGATGGGGTTTCACTGTGTTGGCCAAGCTGGTCTCAAACTCCTGGCCTCAAGTGCTTTACTTGCCTCGGCCTCCCAAAATGCTGGTATTACAGGCATGAGCTACCATGCCTGGCCTGAGAGCTCCTTTCTAAATGGAAGTGTTTCATGACTTATCAAAGGATTTAGACTTTTACAGAACATAATATTCTAAGGCACTGAGATTGTTATTGAGATATTTTTAAAATTTTTATTTGTAGGAATTTAGAGTTCGATATTTTCTAATTATTATGCAGATAGCTGGGCACAATAGCTCATGCCTGTAATCCCAATACTTTGGGTGGCCAAGGCGGGTGGATCACTTGAGGTCAAGAGTTCATGACCAGCCTGGCCAACATGATAAAACCTTGTTTCTACTAAAAATACAAAAATTAGCCAGGCATTGCTGTGGGCACCTGTAATCCCACCTACTTGGGAGGCTGAGGTGGGAGAACCGCTTGAACCTGGGAGGCAGAGGTTGCGGTGAGCCGAGATCACACCACTGCACTCCAACCTGGTGACAGAAAGAGACTCTGTCTCCAAAAAAAAAAAATTATGATGGAGATGACTGGTAACAAATTCCAAAAGATGTTCCAGGATCAGGTAGCTGTTTGGATGAAGTAGCTTTCAAGTTATTTCTTAAGATGTATGATTATTTGAGAACATTCCACGTAAGGAATATCATCTCAACCATGGCCACAGAAGCAAATAAGCTTTATGAGAACATAGTCTCAGCTGTGGAACACTCGTAGGTGGCAAAAGTGAGTCACTGACAGTTGGTGGCTGCTGTTAACTGAGGACTCTGCTAGAGCTGACCGTGAACGCTCCCCTCCCCGCCACTCCACACTGCACAGAGAACATTCTTCTC